GTTACTTTTTGGGGGATATATACTTGCAGTCTTTTTCTATGCAAATATACACACATATTATAATTATATATACATATATATATCATTATTACATATATAATTTTCTTTTTTGAAATGTGGATTTTAATTGACAATATTGTGTATATCACTTCAGGACAGAAGACAAAACTCTAAATATCATTTAAAAATTAGGGTCATACAGTCTCTTCAACAAATGGTGTTGGGAAAACGGGACAGCTATGTGCAAGAGAATGAAACTGGACCACTTTCTTATACCATACACAAATTTAAATTCAAATGGATTAAAGATCTAAATGTTAGACCTGAAACCATAAAAAATTCTATTAGACCGCACAGGCAGTAATGTCTCTGACATTGACTATAGCAACACTTTTCTAGATAGGTCTCCTGAGGCAAGGAAAATAAAAGCAAAAATAAACTATTGGAACTTCATCAAAATAAAAAGCTTCTGCACATCAAAGGAAACAATCAACAAAAGTAAAAGGTAACCTACTGAATGGGAGAAGATGTTTGCAAATGACATACTTGATGAAGGGCTAGTATCCAAAATATATAAAGAATTTATACAACTTAACAGCCAAAAAACAAATAATCCAATTAAAAATGGGCAGAAGAAATGAGCAGGGGTGCCTGGGTGGCTCAATCGGTTAAGTGTCCGACTCTCGATTTCAGTTCAGGTCTTGATCTCAGGGTTGTGAGTTCAAGCCCTGAACTGGGCTCCACACCAGGAATATTTAAAATAATAAGTAAATAAATAAGTAAGTAAATAAATAAGAAATGAACAGACATTTCTCCAAAGAAGACATCCAGATGGCCAACAGACAACATGAAAAAAATGCTCAATATCACTCATCATGAGAGAAATGCAAATCAAAACTACAGTAAGATATCACACCTGTCAGAATGGCTAAAATGAACAACGCAAGAAACAACAGGTGTTGGTGAGGCTGTGGAGAAATAGGAACCCTCTTGCACTGTTGGGGGGAATGCAAACCAGTGCAGTCACTCTGGAGAACAGTTTGGAGGTTCCTCAAAAAGTTAAAAATAGAACTACCCTATCACCCAGCAATTGCACTACTAGGTATTTACTCCAAGGATACAAAAATACAGATTTGAAGGGGTACATGCACCCCAATGTTTACAGCAGCATTATCAACAACAGCCAAACTATGGAGAAAGCCCAAATGTCCATCAACTGATGAATGGATAAAGAAGATGTGGAATGGAATGGTCCTGGGAAATGGAATATTACTCAGCCATCAAAAAGAATGAAACCCTGCCATTTGCAACGACATGGATGGAGCTAGAGTGTATTATGCTAAGTGAAATAAGTCAGTCAGAGAAGGACAAATATCATATGGTCTCACTCATATGTAGAATTTCAGAAAGAAAACAGATGAACATATGGGAAGGGGGAAAAGAAAAAGAGACAGGGAAACAAGCCATAAGTGACTCTTAAAGACAGAGAACAAACTGAGGGTTGGTGGAGGGATGTGGGTGGGGGATGGGGGTGGGTATTAAAGAGGGCACTTGTTGTGAGGAGCATTGTGTGTTGTATGTAAGTGACGAATCACTGAATTCGACTCCAGAAACCAGTATTGCACTATATGCTAATAAAATTTAAATTAAAAAAAGGTCACTTTCCACACAGAAAAAAAAACAAAAACAAATTGTAAAAAAAAAAACAAAACGTGGCACGTGCGCACACACACACACACACACACACAGGAATATTACTCAGCCATCAAAAAGAATGGAATCTTGCCATTTGCAACAGCATGGATGGAGCTAGAGAATATTATGCTAACTGAAATAAGTCTGTCAGAGAAAGACACATGTCATATGATTTTATTCATATGTGGAATTTAGGAAACAAAACAAATGAGCAAAGGAAAAAAAAAGAGAAAGACAAACCAAGAAACAGACTCTTAAATATAGAGAACAAACTGATAGTTACCACAGGGGAGGTGGGTAGGGGGGATAAGGTGGGTGGGGGATAGGTGAAATAGGTGATGGGGATTAAAGAGTACACTTATCATGGTGAGCACTGAGTAATATACAGAATTGCTGGATCATTATTGTACACCTGAAGTTAATGTAACACTCTATGTTAAGTATACTGGAGTTAAAACTAATAATAAATAAACATAAATATATATTTATACACATATAAATATATAAACAAGTAAATAAAAAATAAAAAAAATTAGTGTCCTAGTACAATCAATTGCATGCAATAGCCAAAATTTATTTAACAACTTCATTATTAATAAACTTTTGCAGGAACTTTCTATCTTTCTTTCTTTCTTTCTTTCTTTCTTTCTTTCTTTCTTTCTTTCTGCTGTTATAGACAACAGCAAACAATGTAAGTTTTGGCATAATTCTGTCTGCATATTTCTTTAGGGTAAATTCCTAGCAGTGGAACTGCTGGATCAAAACGAAGGTAAAAAATTATTGAGGAAGGTTGTATCATTTTACTAATTCATCAACCATATATGAGAGTGACCATTAGCCAAGAATAACAAGCATTATTCTTTTAAAATATAATACATAAACAGTATATAATTGCTGCTTTAATATGTGATTCTTAGATAACATGGGAGGCAGAACTTTTATATTTTTAGCTTTCATATTTCATCTTTTATAAATTACTCTTTGTGTCATTTGTCCACCTTTCTACCGTTTTGCCTTTTATTGATTTTAAGAATTCTTTATTACAAAGTATATTGTGCAGGAAAGGATTAATTGAATGGGTCTGGGTGGTCCAAACTCTGCACATTTTAAGGAAAAGTTTTAGCCTGGTGTGGTTCCTGAGAGATAACCTATATAATGCCTTGCAACATCCTGCCTGTTAAGAGTGTCTCTGTTAACGACAGATGTTGGTGGGGATGCGGAGAAAGGGGAACCCTCCTACACTGTTGATGGGAATGCAAGCTGGTGCAGCCACTCTGGAAAACAGTATGGAGGTTCCTCAAAAAGTTGAAAACAGAGCTACGATCCAGCAATTGTACTACTGGGTATTTACCCCAAAGATACAAATGTAGGGATCCGAAGGGGTACGTGCACCCCAATGTTTATAGCAGCAATGTCCACAATAGCCAAACTATGGAAAGAGCCAAGATGTCCATCGACAGATGAATGGATAAAGAAGATGTGGTATATATATACAATGGAATATTATGCAGCCATCAAAAGGAATGAAATCTTGCCATTTGCAATGACGTGGATGGAACTGGAGGGTGTTATGCTGAGCGAAATAAGTCAATCAGAGAAAGACATGTATCATATGACCTCACTGATATGAGGAATTCTTAATTTCAGGAAACAAACTGAGGGTTGCTGGAGTGGGGGGTGGGGTGGGAGGGATGGGGTGGCTGGGTGATAGACACTGGGGAGGGTATGTGCTTTGGTGAGCGCTGTGAATTGTGCAAGACTGTTGAATCACAGATCTGTACCTCTGAAACAAATAATGCAATATATGTTAAGGAAAAAAAAAAAGAAGATAGCAGGAGGGGAAGAATGAAGGGGGGGAAATCGGAGGGGGAGACGAACCATGAGAGACGATGGACATGAAATTTTTTTTTTTTTTAATTTCCGAGCCATAGTGAGCTCATTTAACATTTTGGTAGGTATTGTCAAATTGCCATTCAAAGTGTCTTCCTCAGTCTTACAATTGGTGCCCTTCCCTGGGCACTTTCCTCAACACCCTGTATCATCATTATTTTTATATGTTGCCAGGCTACTGTGTGAAAGATATCTTTGTCTTCATTTGCATTCTATGGTTACTTATGAGGTTAAGCATTAAAAAAATTTGTGCGTGTGTTTTGGTTACCTGTATTTCTTCTAAAAATTGCCTATGTGTATCCTTTGCCTATTTTTTTTTTCTTTGCTATTAACAGAGGCTCTTTACATATTATGGCCATTAATCCTTTGTCTCTTACACATGTTGTAAATATTTTCATGTGTCTTGTTTTTAGCCCTTTGTTCTTTTTGAATACAGAAATTAAAAATTTTGACATAATCAAATTAATGAATTTTTCCCAGAAGGTTTTGGGCCAGGTTTAGGTAGTTTGGTATGGCTACAGCATGATGTGCAAGGGTGGAAAGCAAAACAGTATGCAATATTAAGATCATAAAGGGCTTGGAGGGCACTTCTAAGGAAGTCGACTATTATCCTGATGGCAACAGGGAAACGTAAGTTTTCAACAACACAGTGACTTTCAACAAACATTCCTCATTTAATAATTATCTACTGAGCACCTACTAAGTACCATGATCAAATCTGTCTCTTAGAGAATTATAATTTTTGTACCTTTACATTTTTCACAATTTCAAATACATCAAAAGAAACAGACCATATGTCAAAGGACATAATTAAGGGAGATTTGCTCTGTCACATATCCAAACGTATTTTTAATAAAAACAAAATGGTATCAGTGCAGAAACTGTCAGATCAGTGAAAGAAACTGTCTGGAAACAGATCAGGGTTTGCAGAATATACACGCCTTCAGAATATAATAAAAGTGTCATTTCAATTCAGTGGGAAAATGATTCAATATCTAACGGCAGGACAAGTGGGAAAAGGCATATTCCTGTCTAACAACTTACAACAAAATTAATACCCAACAAAATACAGGTAGAAATGTAAAAAAGATATTAAAAAATTCTTTAAAAGCAGTAGAAAAAAATACAGGTGAATGTTTTAACGACCTTGCGATGGGGAAAAACTTTCCAAAAACGATACCCACCCTTGCCCATACAAAAATCCACTGCAGAAGATACCAGAGGAGAATACGTTTATAATCTCGGGATGGGGAGGCCTTTCTACCAGAGAAGGGGTGCGGGTCTCGGGGAAGGCTGAGGGCGCTGCCGGGGGACGCCGGGTCGAACGCGGGCGGCGACCGCGACCCGGGCACCCTCGGGCCGCCGCCAGCCCTTCCCCCCCGCCAGCCTCCCGGCCCGCGGCGCGCCGCACTCACCAGCCTCCACAGACAAAGGGCGCTCTGGGCGGCTCCGCCCCCTCACGCCGCCGCCGCCGCCGCCGCCGCCGCCGGGCCCGACCTAGGCGGGACAGGGTGATGAGGGCCCTACCGCCTGAGCCAATGACGCCCAGCGGCTGGGCCCCTGGGGCTGGACCAGCCGCCCGTGCCAGTCGGGATCTGACGGAAGTTTTCCAGCGATGGCGGCCGCGCCGCGCTGGCTTAGGCTCCCCGATACGCATGCGCCAGCGGCGACCTAGGCGGACCGCTTCCCACATGCTGGACTCGCAACTCCCACACGCTCGCTGGTCGGCTTTCACTGGAGCGGCGCTCACCCGGGAGGCTTGGACCTCCGGCCCAGCCCTAGCAGAATTTCGCTTACGGGAGGCGGGGGTGGGGGGTGGGGCGGGGAAGGTTGGGGGGCGAGTAGGGCCGAGGGCACTCTCGCAGTCCCTACCAATGAGGATATCGGACTGCTGGGTTCCCGGCCGGTGTAGCTGCTGCATCCGGAGGAGGCGACGCCAGAAGTCATCGCCCTTCTGAGTCCTGGAATACCCGTCCCCCGCCCCCCTTTCGTATTGAGAGACTCAAAATATAATGATAATGAATGAATACAGTTCTCTTGTTTGTAATACAGGTCTGATGAGAAGAATGAAATTCTTTTAATAGGGATAACATTTTGCTTAATTGGGATGCCACCTCCAAAATGGATCGCAATGGTTGATCTGTTAATGCTAGTCTATTTCATCCTTGAAAACTTTTTGAATAGATAGGTACTGTCAAATGCTGACATTCACAAGCCTGTGATTTAAACTGAACATATTAATTGCTTGGATGGCATTTATAGAATCCCATAATTTATTCCCTTTATATTTGCTTTTTAGCATGTCAAAAATGGCAGCTCCTCAACTACACAGTTAAATGGATTGCGAAATACAGAAATGTCCTTTGCACTTGCATAAAGCCTTTTTTAAATTAAATGAATATTCTAAATAAAATAAATAAAATCTTTTAAAAAAATTAATTAATTAAATGAATATTTGACAGAGAGAGAGCAGGAGACCACAAGCAGGGGGAGCAGCAGAGGGAGAGGGTGGAGCAGCAGAGGGAAAGGGAGAGGGAGAAGCAGCAGCCTCCCCCCGCCCCCCCCCCCCAAGCAGGTGGGACTTGATCCCAGGATCCTAGGATCATAACCTGAGCCAAGGCAGTCGTTTAACTGACTAAGCCACCCAGGTGTCCCATGAAATTGAAGTTTAATCCCAGTATAGTTAAAATTAGTTTATATTACTTCCAGGTGTAAAATATAGTGATTCAACAATTCTATATATTGCTCAGTGCTTATCGTGATAAGTGTATTCATATCCTCTTCACGTATTTCACCCATCCACCCACTCACCTCCCATCTGGTAACCATCAGTTTCTTATCTAGAGTTAAGAGTCTGTTTCTTGGTTTGTTTCCCCCCCATCCCACCTTTGCTTGTTTGTTTTGTTTCTTAAATTACACATATGAGTGGCTCTTTCCATAGTTTGGCTATCGTGGACATTGCTGATATAAACATTGGGGTGCACGTACCCCTTTGGATCACTACATTTGTATCTTTGGGGTAAATACTCAGTAGTGCAATTGCTAGGTCATAGGGTAGCTCTATTTTCAACTTTTTGAGTAACCTCCATACTGTTTTCCAGAGTGGCTGCACCAGCTTGCATTCCCACCAACAGTGTAGGAGGGTTCCCCTTCACATCGTCGCCAACATCTGTCATTTCCTGACTGGTTAATTTTAGCCATTCTGACTGGTGTGAGGTGGTATCTCATTGAGGTTTTGATTTGGATTTTCCTGATGCCGAGTGATACTCAGCACTTTTTCATGTGTCTGTTGGCCATTTGGATGTCTTCTTTGGAAAAATGTCTGTTCATGTCTTCTGCCCATTTCTTGATTGGATTATTTGTTCTTTGGGTGTTGAGTTTGATAAATTTTTATAGATTTTGAATACTAGCCCTTTATCTGATATGTCATTTTAAAAATTTTTATTTTATTTTGTTATGTTATGTTAGTCACCATACAGTACATCATCAGTTTTTGATGTAGTGTTCCATGATTCATTGTTTTCGTATAACACCCAATGCTCCATGCAATACATGCCCTCCTTAATACCCATCACCGGGCTAACTCATCCCTCCACCGCCCCCAAAACCCTCAGTTTTTTTCTCAGAGTCCATAGTCTCTCATGGTTTGTCTCCCCCTCCGATTCCCCCCCTTCATTTTCCCCTTCTTTCTCCTAATGTCCTCCATGCTATTCCTTATGTTCCACAAATAAGTGAAACCATATGATAATTGACTTTTTCTGCTTGACTTATTGCACTTAGCATAATCTCCTCCAGTCCCATCCATGTTGATGTAAAAGTTGGGTATTCATCCTTTCTGATAACTCAGTAATATTGCATTGTATATATGGACCACATCTTCTTTATCCATTCATCCGTTGAAGGGCATCTCAGCTCTTTCCACAGTTTGGCTATTGAGGACATTGCTGCTATGAACATTGGGGTGCATATGGCCCTTCTTTTCACTACATCTGTGTCTTTGGGGTAAATACCCAGGAGTGCAATGGCTGGGTCATAGCGTAGCTCTATTTTTAACTTTTTGCGGCACCTCCACACTGTTTTCCAAAGTGGCTGTACCAACTTGCATTCCCACCAACAGTGTAAGAGGGTTCCCCTTTCTCCACAACCTCTCCAACATTTCTTGTTTCTTGCCTTGTCCATTTTTGCCATTCTAACTGGCGTAAGGTGGTATTTCAATGTGGTTTTGATTTGAATTTGCAAATATTTTCTCCCATTCTGTCAGTTGTCTTTTGGTTTTGTTGGCTGTTTCCTTTGCTGTGCAAAAGCTTCTTATCTTGATGAAGTCCCAATAGTTCATTTTTACCCTTGCTTCCCTTCCATTTGGCGATGTTTCTAGGAAGAAGTTGCTGTGGCTGAGGTCGAAGAGGTTGCTGCCTGTGTTCTCCTCAAGGATTTTGATGGATTCCTGTCTCACATTTAGGTCTTTCAACCATTTTGAGTTTATTTTTGTGTGTGGTGTAAGGAAATGGTCTAGTTTCATTCTTCTGCATGTGGCTGTCCAATTTTCCCAGCATCATTTGTTGAAGAGACTGTCTTTTTTCCATTAAACATTCTTTCCTGCTTTGTTGAAGATTACTTGACCCATAGAGTTGAGGGTCCATTTCTGGGCTCTCTATTCTGTTCCATTGATCTATGTGTCTGTTTTTGTACCAGTACTATACTGTCTTGATGATTAAAGCTTTGTAATAGAGCTTGAAGTCTGGAATTGTGATGCCACCAGCTTTGCTTTTCTTTTTCAACAATCCCCTGGCTATTCAGGGTCTTTTCTGTTTCCATACAAATTTTAGGATTATTTGTTCCATTTCTTTGAAAAAAGGTGATGGTATTTGATAGGGATTGCATTAAATGTGTAGATTGCTCTAGGTAGCATAGACATTTTAATAATGTTTATTCTTCTGATCCATGAGCTTGGAATGTTTTTCCATTTCTTTGTGTCTTCCTCAATTTCTTTCATGAGTATTCTATAGTTTTCTGAGTACAGATCCTTAGCCTCTTTGGTTAGATTTATTCCTAGGGTACAACTGTAAATGGGATCGACTCCTTAATTTCTCACTCTTCTGTCTTGTTGTTAGTGTATAGAAATGCCACTGATTTCTGTGGATTGATTTTATATCCTGCCACTTGACTGAATTCCTGTATGAGTTCTAGCAGTTTTGGGGTGGAGTCTTTTGGGTTTTCCACATAAAGTATCATATCATCTGCAAAGAGTGAGAGTTTGACTTCTTCTTTGCCAATTAGGATGCCTTATATTTCTTTTTGTTGTCTGATTGCTGAGGCTGGGACTTCTAGTACTATGTTGAATAGCAGTGGTGATAGTGGACATCCCTGCCATGTTCCTGACCTTAGGGGAAAGGCTCTCGGTTTTTCCCCATTGAGAATGATATTCGCTGTGGGTTTTTCATAAATGGCACTTATGATATTGAGGTATGTACTCTCTACCCCTACACTGTGAAGAGTTTTAACCAAGACAGGATGTTGTACTTTGTCAAATGCTTTTTCTGCATCTATTGAGAGGATCATACGGTTCTTGTTCTTTCTTTTATTAATGTATTGTATCACATTAATTGAATGCAGATTTTGAACCAACCTTGCAGCCCAGGAATAAGTCCCACTTGATGGTGGTGAATAACCCTTTTAATGTACTGTTAGATCCTATTGGCTAGTATTTCGGTGAGAATTTTTGCATCCATGTTCATCAGGGATATTGGTCTATAATTCTCCTTTTTTGATAGGGTCTTTGTCTGGTTATGGGATCAAGGTAATGCTGTCCTCATAAAATGAATTTGGAAGTTTTCCTTCCATTTCTATTTTTTGGAACAGTTTCAGAAGAATAGGTATTAATTCTTCTTGAAATATTTGGTAAAATTCCCCTGGGAAGCCGTCTGGCCCTGGGCTCTTGTTTTTTAGGACATTTTTGATTACTGCTTCAATTTCCTTAGTAGTTATAGGTCTGTTCAGGTTTTCTATTTCTTCCCGGTACAGTTTGGGTAGTTTAGATGTCTCTAGGAAAGCATCCATTTCTTCCAGATTGTCTAATTTGCTGGCATATAGTTGCTCATAATACGTTCTTAAAATTGTTTGTATTTCTTTGGTGTTGGTTGTGATCTCTCCTCTTTCATTCGTGATTTTATTTACTTCAGTCCTTACTCTCTTCTTTTTGCTAAGTCTGGCGAGGGGTTTATCAATCTTATTAATTCTTTCAAAGAACAAGCTCTTAGTGTTATCTGTTCTACTGTTCTTTTGGTTTCTATTTCATTGATTTCTGCTCTGATCTTTATTATTTCTCTTCTCCTGCAGGGTTTAGGCTTTATTTACTGCTCTTTCTCCAGCTCCTTTAGGTGTAGGGTTAGGTTGTGTTTTTCAGACCTTCCTTGTTTCTTGAGAAAGGCTTGTATTGCTATATACTTTCCTCTTAGGGCCGCTTTGCTGTATCCCAAAGGTTTTGAACAGTTGTGTTTTCATTTTCATTTGACTCCATGAATTTTTAAAAATTCTTCTTTCCTTGTTGACTCATTCATTCTTTAGTAGGATGCTCTTTGGCCTCCATGTATTTGAGTTCTTTCCAACTTTCCTCTTGTGACTGAATTCTAGTTTCAAGGCATTGTGGTCTGAAAATATGCAGGGAATGACCCCAGTCTTCTGGTACTGGTTGAGACCTGATTTATGACCCAGGATGTGATCTATTCTGGAGAACGTC